TGAAAAAAAAAAAAAAAAAAAAAAAAAAAAAAAAAGTGCCTAAAACATTCTTTATGTATATTATTTTCATTATTTATTGCATTACAAACGCCCTCAAAACTTTTTGGCTTTACATATTACCTGTTTTATCCTATTATCATGTTTTTTTTTAAATTTAATTTGATTTATTCATTCATTTATTTTAATTTGGCCAGAGAGAGACACAGAGAAAGAGAGAGAGGGAAAGTGAGAAAGCAAGCTACCAAGTCCAGGACTCGAACTGTGGTCAACCATGTGGGAATGTCCAGTGCCTTAACCACCACGCCACCTGCTGGTCCCCAGTGAGACGGCAAGCCACCAGGTCTAGGACTCGAACCATGGCCAGCCATATGGGAATGTCTAGCGCCTTAACCACCATGCCACTTGCTGGTCCATTAACTATTATTGTGTTTAACTCTTCGGGCAGGATTTGGATGGGCAGTTGTATGTCCCTCGTAGTATTAACTGGGCTCCCTGGGTGGTGGCTTCAGCTGCTGCTGGGTAGTCTGGAGGGTCCAAGATGACTTCTTTCACGTGCCTGTTCTTTGGTTGGGGCAGCTGGGACTTCTTTCCATGTGGTCTCCCTGACTGGGTAGCTGGACTCCTACACGGCAGCTCATTGCTCCAGGAACATGATATTCAAGAGGAGGGAGGTGTTTACTGTCAGCCCCTTGGACCGCGGCCTACCACGGCATAGGTCTCTGCCCTGTACTGCTGGTTGAAACAGCCACACAGTCCGTGTAGACCAAAGGGAGGGGACAGAAATGTCACTGTCCACGGAAGGAGTCAGAGAATTTGTGGCCATTTTTCATTTGCTACATTTGTATTTGGTGTTTTCTTTTTTTTTTTTTTTTCTTCCCTTTTTTAGCTTGTGGAGACAATAGGAGTTACCAGTCAAAAATTCATGTTACTGAGCCACAGGAGACATTAGGCCTAATCTGACCTTTATGTTCTACAGATTGAAATACACACATGCACGTTTATGTGTATGTATGTGTATGTGTATGTGTGTATACGTAAATCAAATCCTTGTGAGTTAAGCAACTTGTAAAAATGTAAAGAAGCAGATCTTTTGATATTTATTTTGAGCCACTTTTTTTCTGTACCATACTCATCTTATTTTTGAGTTATTTCTACTGAAGCTTCAGATTAAAAAAATAAAATGACTAAAATTGTTTTTTTCCTGTGGAAGATAGTTGATTTCTCACAAGTGTGAATTACTATAGGGTAGTGCATCTCAAGTATGCCTTTGATAAGCCATTGAGGCTTACTAAGTAAGGCATGAAGAGAAAAATTACTGTAAGTATAATCTTCTACCTTAATTTTCTCCAGATATTATTATTGGATATGTTTTGTTTTCATACTGCCCTTGGTAGTTACTAAAAATGACTTTTTTATACTACTCATCACTTATAAAAAATATAAGTATTTTAAAAATTATAATGGCATTTGGGCTATATAATTTTGCCACTTAAAAGTAATGATGGACTTTACAAAGATGAGACAAAATTATACATATATTCTGTTTGGAGGAAGCCGTCAATCCTATGGGAGAATTCAAGCAGAAATCAGTGTTCAGTTTCATGAGTTATTGCATGAATTTCTTTTTTTCTTTGTACTCCTGATGTTCTAAATGTTTTAAATTTTGCAAATGTTGAATTTGACCCAAGGTTCTAAGAATAAAATTCAGATCAAGACTTTTCTCTTAAGGATCCTTTATTCTTATCCTTGAAAGATCACACACTGGACCCTCTCGATGTCACTTAGTCTTCTTATGTAGCAAGTAAAGCATCCCAGCGTTGCTGCAGAAGTCCCCGACTTTTCAAAATCTGTGACCATCGAGCAAAAGCCAAAGTGTGGAGAATGGATTCGCACATTAAATTTATTCTGTGGTTTTTACACATGCAGATTAAACATTTTAGGTTGATAAAATTTCACACCCCTCCTCCCCAAAATAACTTAGTAGTTTTTCTCTTAAAATAACTGAGCTGGAGAGAGATTCTTTGGCTCATCAGGAAATTGCTAATTGCAAATTCGGGCCTGTTGTGCCTCGTCAGTTGCCAGCTTCCAGCTTGCTGTGCCCTGTACTATGAGTGGACAGTGGTCAGAATTCTCTATAAAATTGCAGGCTTAAGTTGTGCTGGTGTCCCTGAGTGGTGCTGAGGATCACTGACAAATGTGACTTTCTTCCAGACTGTTGGCGGTGGTGCGGCGCAAGAGAGGGCGCCGGAGTTGGATGGTGGCGGGCCCCCGGAGCAGGACAAAAGCCATTCTAACAGTAGCACCTTGTCGGACCGGAGACTCAGCACCTCCAGCCTCTGTAGCATTGAGGAGGAGCACCGGACAGTGTATGAGATGGTGCAGCGCATCCTCTTGTCCACACGAGGTTATGTCAATTTCGTGAATGAAGTATTTCGCCAGGTTAGTGTGTGTGCGTGCGCATTGTAAATTCATGAAATCGAAGAGACTTTTATTTTTGTTTTTCTTCTCCCACTAATCCAAGAAATACTATTGATGAGTTGGGCAAAATTACAGAACTCAACAAATAACGATCCCACTCATCCTGCTTTTAATTTGGCGTGTGAATTATGATACTCTTTTCTGTGTGGGTTTTCATTGTGTTTTTGAAAAATTCCTACATGAGGGAAAATTGTGTATTTGAATAAAATCATTTGGCAAATATCTTCATGTTTCCTTACAAACGAAGCTCAGTGATGGGAAGGCGGCCAGTCCTGTACAGCCGGCAGCAGATGAACCTAGCAAATAAGAGGCAGGCGCCCTTCCCGGGCCTCAGGGAGCTCTTGGACAAGCTGGCGTTTGTGTAAAAAGTTGTATTTCCCTGCAGAGGCATGTGGCATGCACATATGTGAGACGCATTTATGGCACAAGAGAGAAAGGTGGGTGGTGAGGGGAATAGAAGGAAAGAAAGGACCTGAGGCTGAGACCGAATGACAGCCGCGGGTGGAAACTGTGGAGGGTGCAGAGGTGCCGAAAGAGCAGAGAGGTGCGAGTGAGAGGGAGTCAGGAGGGGGCAGAAGCCGGGGCTGCCGTTAGTGGCCATGAGGCTGCAGCAGGTTTGCAGCCAGGACTGGTGTTGCCGTGGGGGACCCCTGGGCAACGTCTGGAGACGGCTTTGATTGTCACTACCGGTTTCTTGCAGGAAGCAGCCCAATGTTACTAAAACATCCTGTCACACACGCACAGGCCCCGCCTCCACCCCACCATGGCACAGAACTGTCCAGCCCAGCGTGTCCGTAGGGCTGCTTTGGAGAAACAGCTCCAGCCCCCGGACAGAGAAACAGAACCTCCATGGAGCAGGCCAATCCCAGTTCTGTGATGCACACGCACTCATGGACGTGTGTGTGACGGATCTTTACATCCGAAGTGTGTGTGATGGATCCTTACATCCAGAGTGTATGTGTGTGTGTGTCAGATGGATCCTTACATCCAGAGTGTGTGTGTGTGTGTGTGTGTGTGTGTGTGTGTGTTATGGTGTAATGGATCCTTACATCTGGAGTGTGTGTGTCAGATGGATCCTTACATCCAGAGTGTGTGTATGTGTGTGTTATGGTGTGATGTATCCTTACATCCAGAGTGTGTGAGTGTGTGTGTGTAATGGATCCTTACATCCGGAGTGTGTGTGTATATGTGTGTGTGTGTGTGTGTGAGATGGATCCTTACATCCAGACAGTGTGTGTGTGTGTGTTATGGTGTGATGGATCCTTACATCTGGAGTATGTATGTGTATGTGTGTGTGATAGATCCTTACATCCAGAGTGTGTGTGAGTGTGTGTGTGTGTGTGATGGATCCTTATATCTGGAGTGTGTGTGTGTGTGTGTGGTGGATCCTTACATCTAGAGAGTGTGTGTGTCTGTTATGGTGTAATAGATCCTAACATCTGGAGTGTGTGTGTGTGTGTCTCATATGGATCCTTATATCCAGAGTGTGTGTGTGTGTGTGTGTGTGTGTGTGTGTGTGTGAGAGAGATGGATTCTTACATCCAGACACAGGGTGAGCCCTGTGTGGCAGAGACCAGCTGTTGGTGGAAGGAGAGTGGGGGAGAGCCCTGTACACACGTGATTGACCGTGTCTACGTCACGGAGAATTTTTTTTTTTTGAAGAGGTTTTTGCTATAGGCCGCATACGCTCGCCAGACAGACAGAGACATAGAGACAGAAAGCGAGAAATCACCCCCCAGGAGAGATGGCCACGCCACAATCCCTTCTCCTCCATTCTCCTCTCGGGATCTTGGGCACGCATGCACACGTGCCCGGCGTGAGTTTAAGCCACCGGGTCCGGGACGTGAACCATGGTCGACCACATGGGAGTCCAGCGACATATCCATTACACTAACTGCTGGTCCCCATCATCACGGAGAACTTTTCATGGCGGGGCGTGACTTTGAGATAGTGCCTGATTAACTCTTTCCTGTCTGGGACTTTCATTAAAGGAAAAGCCAGCAAGAATGGAAGTCTCAGCATAATCCACAGGTCAGCCCCTCTCTGGCTATGGTTAGCACCTCCTCCTCAACCTCCCTGCAGCCCTCGTGCAGCATTGTCCCTTCTAGTTTATACTGTAGGCATCATGCTGCCCGACATTCTCTTTGTCTCGTGATAGCCATTATTTATTTATTTATTTATTTATTTTTTTGAGAGTTTTTTGCTATAGGGCACGTGCGCTTGCCAGACAGAAAAACAGTGAGAAATGACCCCCGAGGGAGGATGGCCACGCCACAATCCCTTCTCCTCCATTTTCCTCTCAGGATCTTGGGCACACATGCACACGCGCCCAGCTTGAGTTTAAGCCACCGGGTCCGGGACGTGAACCGTGGTCGACTACATGGGAGTCCAGCGACATAGCCATTATGCTAACTGCTGGTGCAGATGGCCGTGATTTTAAAGCCCCGTCCTCTTCGTTAGCGATGTGCTCATGTTGCTGTCGCATGCATGGGAGGTGCTCGGTGATGATCTGATTTAAATGGAAACAATCAAGATCCTAGAGGTTTTGGCATGTTTTCATTTTAATGCATAAAATATTTTAAAATGTTTGTTCTACAGTTAATGTTCCACTTATAAAATTGTTTTCTGAATTTGTGGCCCAGCATGTCCCCGATTCTTTTCACTTCCTGACTGTAGCATCTGTCTCATTTCTTAGCCCTTCTTTTTGTTTCACCCCATGTCACAGGTATTGAGCAAGATTCTGAGCTCAAGCCTCTTTTTTTGAATTTATTTATTAATTTCTAACATGAGAGAGAGAGAGAGAGAGCACATCTACCGGATCCTGACACCACACAGTCCACTCGGGCATCAGCCAGCCTGGGATCGTGGGCAGGCTGTGCCCAGCCTACTCTGGGTCTCCGTAATGAGCCTGAAATCTCCCCATGTGGTCAGCCTGGCAGACCATCGCCTTTCGCTGCTGCACCACCTCCGGCCCCCCAGGCTGCTTCTGTAGCTCTGCACTTGGCTCCGTGGTCCCTCACCCCTTGTCCTGTGCCAGCAACCTCTGCAGTCCATGGCTCCCAACCATGCGTTCTGTCCACACCGCACTTCTGTATTTCCCATGAGCGGCTCATTTGTTCACTTGTTCGTTCTCATGAAAGACATGTTATAAAGGCTACACACACCAGGAATAAGAAAGCATGAAGCAACATTACAGAGGCCTAGAACACCTGCTAACAGCTTCCACGGTCCTCACTATACAGAATATGTTCCGCCTCAGGGTCCCGATTCACCGACACGAGAGCAAGGTGTCTGCCTCTGGGAAGATGAAGCCGAGGTTTGCTGAGCAGTCTTTCAGACCTCAGTAATCACACAGCCAGAGCCAGGCTGAGCGGGCAGGTGAGCCAGGGGCAGACCATCAGCCATTGCGCCTTCTCTAACTGGCATAGACAAACTGGCACTGGGTGCCTCTCACTTATCCTTCAAGATGCCCACTTGTCATCTCATCTAATGGTCTTCTTTTCTTCCCCGATACCAGCTTCTTCTGAGTGGACTGCCTCTTTAACGGGACCTGTACTTGAACTTGCATCCTAACATTGGTTGCCCCACCTCTTCTTCCTCTTATGACCAGTCACAGGGCTAGCCACGCAGGTGCCTTTCTCACTTCTGTCTTCTGAGTGGTCCATAGCCCTCTCATTGGTGGTTCTCGGAGCTGTCCTGCATCATCCCTTGTATTTATACTGCATGCAAAATATTCTCCTTGTCTTGTAGTAGTCCCTGATTTTTAAAGCTGTTCCCTTCATTAATGTTATACCCACATTGCTGTCGCACACATAGAAGGTGCTTGGTAACTATTTGATTCGAATTGAAATAATCAAGATCCTAGAGTGTGGATGACCTGTAGCAGGGGTCAGCACCCTTTGTACAGTATAGGGCCATGTTGTAAGTATTGTAGGTGACATGGATCAGACAGTTTCTGTCACAGCCGCTCAGCTTTGCCCTTGTAGTAAGAAAACAGCCACGTGCAATATGTAACAATTGAACATGGCAGTGTTCCAATAAAACTTTATTTATGAAAACCAGATGGCAGGCTGGATTTGGCTTGTAGGTCCTGGTGTGCCAGGACTTTAATCTTTAGTAATGTTTTTAAGCCCTTGGATGAAAATGATTCATATTAGACTGGCTCTCACTGTCAAAAGCTTTTAGATTTTGTACAAGAGATAAGTGCTATATTCGTGTGGTTTTACCTTTCTGTCTGTACCTGTTATGAGCATTTCATTTCTCATAATATTGTGCTCTAAATTTTTTTCCATGACAGAGTCTTTTACTTCTGAATGTTTATCAGTGTACCAAGTAATAAGTTTGTACCGTGTAACAAGTTTGTGAATTCTATCATCTAGTATTTTGGCTAAAAAAAAACTAAAAGCAGCTCAAACGATTGCACTAATAGTTACTATTCTAACCCTTAGCCAGAATGGACTATTTCTTTCTTTATTTATTTTCTGGGGAGAGGTTTTTGCTACAGGGTGCACGTGCTTACTAGAGAGACAGAGAGAGACAGAGAGACAGAAAGCAAGAAATCACCCCCCCCGGGGGGGGGGGAATGGCCATGCTGCAATCCCTTCTCCTCTCGGGATCTTGGGCACACATGCAAACACGCCCAGCATGAGTTTAAGCCACCGGGTTCAAGACTTGAACCACGGTCGACTACATGGGAGTTCAGTGACATAGCCATTACGCTAACTGCTGGTCCCCAGAATGGACTACTTTAAGGCTGACTGCTGCTTCACACCAGTTACAAGTAACTGTTCACTACAGAGATAAAGCCTCTGACCTTTAAGAAAACATTAGGAGGAGAAAAAATAATATTAATTCCTTTCTTTCTTCAAATAAAATTGTTTTTTGCTATTATCTAAGAAAAAGTGAACATTGAGATGTGTGTTGCTTGAGCTAAAGGGATAGTAAAACAATGTGTACCCATT